AAGCTGGGAGACAGTAACACCAATGCCATAGAAAACAGATTAACGATCTCACTGCATACCATGTGGATTGCAGATATCATGTAAAAGGAAAATCAAAAGCAAAACAAGAAAAAATACCATCAGTGCCTGGATAGGAAAAAAAATTTTAAGTAGGATATAAAAAAGCCACAATCAGAAAAGGAAAAGATCAAAGCAAATTGTTCCACACTAAGCAAGAACTTCTTGTCAAAAGAGAAGTTACCGGGGTGCTCTGGGTGGTCTACGGGTTACATCTGACTGGCTTCGCTCAGGTCATGATCCATTATTCTGAGCCCAGCCCGCATCGGGTTTGCAGTTGACATACATGGAGCCTCAGTTCCGGATTCTGTCTCTTCTCAAAATAAATAATAAACTTGAAAAAAATTTACTCATATATATATTTATATAACATAATATATAATAATAATCACATATAAATTAATATATATGGAATAGGTTTATATAATATAATTAATAATTAGAGTATGCATACAGTGGCGGCGTATTTCCGACTTGGAACCCCTTCTGGACAAAGCTTAATATATTTATATAACATAATATATAATAATAATCACATATAAATTAATTTATACAATATATTTATATAATATATAATTAATAATTATATATGCATATATATATACATACATATATACATACATATACATATAAAAGAAGGGGAGGCACTCTTCACAGAAAGAGAATCGAAAGTCAAGGGATAGAATGGGAAAAGACATTTGTAGTACAGAAAACTGACAAAGAACTTGAATACAGAATATACAAATAAAATAAGAAGACCAAATAGAAAAATGGGCAAGAGATTTAACAGGTACTTCAAAGAGAGAAACAGCTGATAAACTCAATTTAAAACCTTTCAGTCTTGGGTATCAGAGCAATGCAAATTAAAACAATGAAATTAAAGACCACCCCTTCTCCTGTTCTGAGCAAGCAGGGAACCGATAATACTCCAGGTCAAAGTTTACAGGATGGGCATTCCTTTGTATAACTGGTGAGAGTACCAACTGGTTAAAAAAACAAAAACAAAAACAAAAGCTTCCTGGAAAGACTTTTGGCCTTATGTGTCATGAATCTTAAATATTCCCATAAACTTTGATTTAGTGATTGCATTTTTAAAGTCTCTAGCCCAAGAAAACAGCAGTCACAAAGTTTATTTGTAACATTCGAAGAAACCAAATCATTGACCAATGAAAGAGAAGTTAATCACATTATAAACTAGATTATTATTAGCCTTTAAAAATTATACTTACAAAGACATGACATTTCAAATTTTACGTATATATAAAGGGATAAATATAAATAGGATAACATCCAACCAGGAGTCAAACAAAATATTTTTACATATTTCCAAGTAGGTAATCTAGAATCCTCTTTAGACATGCATACTAACTGGGCCCCAGAGCTAAGAGGCTTAGACACGTAAGTTTGTTTTCACATTACCTAGTGTTGGAGGATAAGACGTGACAGGTGGATGGGGTCCTGCTCCCGACCCTTGCCCTGGATTTGCAGTGCTTCCCTGGGACACATTGCTATGGGGGTCACTGGCACTTGTTGCATTGTTACTAGTGCAGGAAATTCCACCTCCAGTGTCGGAATCTTCAATATTGCCACCACTGTTACAGCCAGCCCCACACCCTTTCCTTAACCTGGGAACAAACACCAAAGTAAGCAGCATTATCCCACAATCACCTCAAGATAAGGGTTTTATTCTATTTCCAGCTATTCAGAATGTTTAATGCTACTAACATTCACCTTCCAAAGTCTTTACAGCATAGTCAATATGAGAAACAAAAAAAGGTCAGTTATGTTTTCAAAGGATGGCCTAAGAACTATTCCCGTTATACTCACTGCCTCAATTCTTCCCAATCTACCTTCACTTTTATATACTCTATCATCTTTTCTGATCTTGCCTTCTTTCCTGAACCATAATAAACTGCACATAACAAAACTGCACCATTAAGATTACAGATGGAAACAGAATTCTTGGCAGTGTCTGTTCAGCGCCTCTGAAGTGTGCACCCCTGAAGACCTCATTTCTGCTGTAGCACACTTGGATGAGCACTGCTGTAATCACTGCCCCGCCCCTGCCTTTTTAATGTGGGGTGACCAACTATCCCGGATAGCCTACAATTAATTGTCTCAGTCTGGCACTGAACGTCTTGCTTCCCAGGAGACCTCTCAGTGCTGGGCAAACCAGGGCAGTTAGGCACTCTAATCTCTATACCATTTCTCTCAGGGGAAGAGAACTCAACCTCTTCAAGGCAATTCCAGCACAACGGATAGTTTTGGAAAGAAATTTCTTCGAACGCCACTCTGGTTTATTTCTTCTTTCTTATACTAAAATGGTGAAACTTTTTTTTTTTTCTGAATATGCCTAGAAGAAGATGTCTATTTGAGAGTTTGCCACCCCAGTTCCACATCCTGTTTTTAAGTTCTGTTATTTAACGATCTGAACAAAAGCTTGTAAGAAATTGAAGATACTCCGTGACTTTTCTTCACCAGTCACCAAACTATGATGTTCCTATACAAAACACCGTAATTTACTAGACAAAGGAAGAGAAAAAATTCATGTGCACACTTGAAGACACCACAGATTCGAGATCTGAGTGATGACTCGATTGTTAAAATGGCAGTAATATCTCCGCATCGCACAAGCAGGAGTTTCAGCAAATACAGTGTGCGCCCCCTACTGCTAGAATGGAATAAAACAAAAGTAATCAGCTTGTTCAGGTTTCCTACGTTTTTCTCTAATTTGCCGTTTGTTGGCTCACACATCCTAATAGTGGCACTATGCTGCAATATAGAATAAGAAAAGCTAAAGAAAAGGGAACTATTCAAGATTCTACCAAATGCTGGAGGAATGGTTCTTTTTTTTTTTTTTAAAGTTTATTTATTTATTTTGAGAGAGAGAGAGAGAGAGCGAGCACAAGCAAAGAAGGAGCAGAGCGCCAGGGAGAGAATCTCAAGCAGGCACAGAACCTGACGTGGGGCTCAATCCCATGAACAAGATCATGACCTGAGCCAAAATCAGGAGTCAGACACTCAACTGACTAAGCCACCCAGGTGCCCCTGGAGCAGTGGTTATTGACCAGAGTTGTACATTTGATGTATTGAATAAGAGTTTGAAATAGACTACTTCCCGAAGTTCCTGATAGAATAGGTTTAGATTGTGCCATGGCATCTGTATTTTTTCTAGCAGCTTTCCAGGTGATGCTCATGAAAACTGCTTGGATGAAGATGGTCAGGACACACCATCACTGAAATATGCAACCCCATGGCTCACCTGTGCCAGGTTGACACTATGAAGTTTCTGATATTGCCCAAGCTGATAGGTCCCCCAAGGATTTCTTTAAGCTGTTCGTGGCTGTCAGAGTAAGAAGTTGTCAGGGGGGAGACAAAGATTGGGTAGCCAATAGGTTGATCACAAGATGAGTTTATCATGTTTCTCAGAGCTTGTTTTGCATTCTGGATGCTCCCTCTCTCTGGATTACGGTTACGTAGAAACACAAGCTCTTGCTGTTGTCCTGCCCAAAGACCTCGGACACATTCCTTATTAACCTGAAAACCAGAACACGTGGGAATTAGGTTAAGGGGCCAAGAATGAAACTCATATAAACAGAAGAGTATAAATGGGAGAGATACAAAAGACCTATGATAACAGTGAAAAGAAATACAAGTACGTCACATTTGAATAGGAGCTCTTCAATTTTCCATTGTCATTCGTAGGCTGTTAAATAATAAGCAGCCACGGTACTCTCTTCCCTGGTCTGCCTTACAAAAATACCAAGTTTACCAAATTGATAAAGTGTTGCATTTTGCAATTGGGGTAATAAGATATTTTTGATAGAAATGAGCAGTAACAAATATTTAGAGTTAAAAGGATGTTTGTGACTTTGCAGGTTGATTAAATGAAGTAGATAAAAAGCAAATCGTTATAAACTATTAAAATAAAATCTCAGAAATTAAGCTACCTAAAGCCATGAGATGTTTAAAAAATCAAAAAATAAAAAACAATGAAAAATACAAACTATGGTATTATTTTGCAACCTAGGAATCAGATTAGCAATATGGTGCTGATATTCTAAGAGATGCTGATATTCTAAGAAGAGATAGCATATATAATAGATAAGACTCCCACAGAAAGAAAATAAATAAGCAAACATTATAAGACTCTATTGTACTTGAGAAAATTTCAGAGGACAGAATAAATTACATTAAAATAAATCAAATTAAGTGCTCATAAATAATGCTAATGTAGTATGGTCATTTTTTTTTTTTTTTGTCTATAAAAAGAGTTTCAATGACTTTTTTTTTTTCTTAACGTTTATTTTTGAGACAGAGCATGAACGGGGGAGGGGCAGAGAGAGAGGGAGACACAGAATCGGAAGCAGGCT